TTCGTTTAAATCTTGTACCAAAATAAAAAAATTTGCTCTGTGTACATAGTTATCCGGTTAAAAATAAAAATTGGATTATTCATTTTGTGTGTGATTCATTGCTGTACTCTTAAGTGATCGACTTCTGCTCATACCATGTAGAAATGTAAAATCTTATTTATTTGGAACATCAAACAGTGTATGTAGCAATGTCTTGTCAAATTATTCAATTATTCAGAGTGTGCACACTAGTCAAACGAACCGTGCCCTGGCCCACCTCTTCCAACCGGGCGCTCACACTAGTCAAACGAACCGGGCTTTGGGGGTCAAACGCGCTCGGGCACGGTTCAAAAAGCCTAGTGTGAGTACACCCTTAATTAGCTGTAAAGTTGCTTTGCAACGATTAGTATCGTGAAAAGCGCTATACAAATAAACTTGAATTGAATTGAATTAATGTTCTTTTGCTGCCAGTCAAGTGATGTTTTATTTTTTTATATTTTATTTATTACAGTGAAGGTGTTTGATCATAATAATTCAGGAAATACCTGTAGATCAGTGGTTCTCAACCTTTTTTTCCACCGGGCCGCACTATGGTCCAAGTGCAAGTCTCACGGGCCGCACGCATATCATTTCAATATTACGTCACCAATACAAACCAACCAGATTTATAATATTATAGCCTAAATATTATGATATCTAATTACATTCATTGAAATAAATAAATAATTATACTCACCATTAATAAAACACCTGATGCTGTCGGGAGCTGACCAATTTAGTGAAATTCGGCTCGTAAGGAGTAACAGAACAATGAAGTTGCGAGTGTAAGTTGCAGTCTGTAAGACGCGCACGGAAGCGTGACTTGACACGCGACATTGCAGAAAATATGCGTTCACAAATGTAGCCTATGTTGATCCAAATATGGAAAACGCTTTCGAATTTAATAATCTGAGGTTCTCTCCTGAGATGTTTTGTCACATTTCTGCAATTAAGGATGATTGCTGCATAGTATGGGTGTTTCCTTTTGCCTGAACATCTTCAAGTGAGTGTCGGGGCAAACCGAAAGTCCAGCTCTCTCTCTCCTTCACTGCTGATACTATGACTATTCTTGTTTGTTTGGGTTCACTGGCATTTTCCACATTTTGTTTTTCTCCCTTAATAACAAATGTGTCCATTCTGATGCTCAATTTTACCCAACTAATGGCTGCTGATGACTATTTGAATTGAATTCTGCCAAAGTGCGCGCTTGTAAGTGTTCGTTAAATGCGTAACGTTAATTAAGTGAGTAGCCTACAGGTCTGCTCATGTCTGAAAATAATATATGAAAAACAAAATTATTTTACATAAAAACATTATAGCTTATATTTGTTTAGTACATTTTTAAATTAATGTAAAAACTAAAATAAAAAACTGAACAGTAAAACTGAAGGTTATTTTTTAAAATTGTGTTCAGCACGGTGGGCCGCATTTGAATCCGTGACGGGTTGAGAACCACTGCTGTAGATTAACAGTGTTGCCAGCTAATTTAAATAAGGAGATTTGACTTTGATTTTATGCTATTTTTTGTTATTGTATTAATTACAGATCAGTTTTGTAACTTTACATACATTTGTATGTAATTTAAGAAAACAGAAAGATACTTTATAACATACAGTAATTTCCTGTAGAAAAAAAATTTGAAGTACTGTAATTTATCATTAACATCATAATGCTAAAAATAACAGCAGAGTAGTTAATTTATAGATATTTTTTTACTCAGTTTTGACTACAATTTAAAATAAAAGAAAACAACCTGAGAAGAAATCACAGTTATTTTAAGTAAAATTAAGATTTTTTTACAGTGAACAACTGCAGGTTTAAAGGGGTCATATGATGCGATTTCAATTGTTTCTTTCTCTTTGGAGTGTTACAAGCTCTTGGTGCATAAAGAAGATCTGTAAAGTTGCAAACACTAAAGTCTCAAATCCAAAGAGATATTCTTTATAAAAGTTAAGAGTTAACCACACCTACCTAAAACGCCTCGTTCTAACACGCCCCCACATATCTACCTCACTATGTGGAAAGATTTGCATAACGCCGCCCAAATGTTCACGCAAAGAAAGAAGGCGTAACTTTTATTCTCGCCGGATCGGCTTTCACCGTGGACGAAGCGGAGTCCAGCCCGGGGTCGTCACATGTCCTTCCGGACACTCCTTCGTGTCTCACGCTTGAGGTATTCGGCCAATCACAACGCACTGGATAGCTGGCCAATCACAGCACACCTCGCTTTTCAGAACGATGAGCTTTGTAAAAATCATCGTGTTTCAGAAAGGCGGGGCATAGAGGAGAAACAATAATGTACAGTATGTGGAATATAATGTGTTTTTTGAACCTTAAACCACATAAACACATTTCATTACACCAAATACACCAAATAATGTTCTTTTTAGCAACATCATATGACCCCTTAAAACAACTCCACAAACAGCATCACCAGCTTCTCTTATTACTAACCAGACTAACTTTATTTCTGTCAGACGTC